CTGCGACGCGCTGATGAGATCCAAAAAGATCGAAATCGCGATCCGCGTCTGGCAGTTTCGACAGAATACAGACCACTTCGAATTTTTTTATTCGATTAAGCCAACGTGTCTATCACGTTGAGGTTGGCTACGCCGGGATTCGTTTTCAGCAAGTAGATATCCACACAAGTGGACCTTGTTGGAGCAAACGTAATCCTAAAATGTAGCATCGCGCTACAGATGGCGTTTACTGCGTCATTTGTAGTATTTTCCACAAAAAAATTGTTTCAGAACATCCCACAGTATGTAATGGATTGACCTTGTGCAGCACCTTGCCCACCGTTTTCTTATTTAGGGCCAGGGTGGGTTATCACTATTATTTTAAGGTCAAAGATCCAATAGTGGTTGTTTACAAAGTGTAAGTAAAATATTGTAATGTTTGTGGGTTTAACAAAATTAACTTCTAAGACTGATAACGACAAAAACTATTTATTTACACTAATTATTAAAGAACTTAAAAACACTATTAAATTACTACTAAACTTAGGTTATGAATTATTCTATTTTTTTACACTACTGTTGATATATCACTATTCGCTGCGCTATTTATTTCACTGCTATCACTGTCAATTTGTTTCTGGATTCACTTCTGCAACTGTCAATTTCTTTCTTCTCCTCTCGGCGATAGTCTCTTCCTTTAAATACTTTTGTTTACTTTCGGGAACCTTCTGGAAGCATTCGGATAGTTTATTTTTTCTTTGAACTGTTTAACTGCTTTCCCAGAACACAGGTACGACACACACACTTACAAATACGGCCCACATGAAGAAAGGAGCCCGCGGCTAGTCGGCGAATCGATAAGCCGAAATGTAGCGTTTATTGCCAAACTCGCCCCTGTCAGTCTTATATAATTTTTGTTCTGTAAATTTTGTATTTTTATATTCCATATCTAATTTATTGTACATATGTATTCCGAATTTGTTTATATGTTCATGTACCTATACTTTTTTTCCATATCTAATTCTATCATGACTATTTCTGGAATCTTCGCTTTCTAACTTTTACTTATTTTCTACCCTTTTTCACGCTTATTAAAGATCTGTATTTTCATTTCTAATAACGTACGTCTAAACTGTTTTTTTTATTTACATTATATACATTTACCATTATTGTTATTAAAATAACTTAATATAATAGCAACGTTTGTTTTATGTATTTGTATCATACATTTTATTTTCGAGTCAAATGGCTTAAAAAGTACGCAATATACTCATTGCAGCAAAACTGCAAATTTAATTGGAAAATCTTTCAACAAAACTTGCTCTCTATATTAATATACACTCGTCCATTTACTACACAGTGTTTGAAAGTAAAAAAAGATCTCGTTTATGCCTTGTGAAACATGGGTCCAATAAAAAAAAATTATAGGAAATACTGTTTAAAATGTCAAAAAATGCAATGCAAAAAATGCGACAATATTCTAATGTTGTTTTTAGAGTCAATAGTAAGTTTAATTGAAAAAAACAAAACTTGCTCACTATTTTAATATAAGATCATCTTTACTGTCTAAAGTATTTGAAAATAGAAAAAAGAAGGTTTCGTTTAAATTGCAACCCTGTGAAATATNTAAGCACGGTTCTCAATAATACGCGTTTAGTTATTTAAGTTACAATAGTTGTACATATTTTTAATTGTGAATAGTCTCGATCCTTTAATAATAAAACTAGTAAAAAAAAAAGGTGTAAATTTTATTAAAGGAAAAATCATCAACTAGCTGTACAATATTAAGTTGGCGTACAGCAGAAGCTGGTATAAGTTAAACACCGACTATCCTGCTTCAACAAATAGAAAAAATGAGGTTTCGTTTAAATGGTAGCTAGTGAATTATGGGTCGAGTAGAAAAAAGTTATAGTACGCGACGTAGAAGTCAACCGTTCATACCTCTCGGTCAACATCATTTCTTACCGTTAATGTCAGTATCGATTAGATTTCAAATATTAATACAACGAAATTTAGTTTAAATAATTTAATGAAAAATATCACACTCTACATTAAGTGTTACTTTAGGCAGATTCAAATTTTCAAAACAATCTTCGGTGAAAATTCGAGCCGACCAATGGCAACACGTTTGTTCTCATTTGTGAATACATTAGACCCCACCTCTATTCAAGGAGTAGACGCTTGTGTTAGACAGCTGTTAGACAGTTATTATTGTGACGATTGTGACATGATTGTGACATATATCTGTTACATTACAGTGATTGTGTATTACCAATGAACGTATCACTTATTTTCGTATCTGTCGTATATTAATTAATATATGAATATTTACATGATTAAAATCAAACATGCCGTATGCCAATCAACCTTCTGTACATATAACAGATTTAACAGATGAAAATGTGAAATTTTACGTTGAAGACACCGAATTAAGGTTAGTTTCTGTGTTTGTTCGATCTTTTAAATTATATTTTAGTACCTTCTTAGTGTTGCAAATAGCATGCGAAGAGTATTTATTGCTGAAACACCAACTTTGGCAATCGACTGGGTGAAGTTAGAAGCAAATTCAACAGTTCTAAGTGATGAATTTCTTGCTCATCGTATAGGTCTTATTCCATTAGTTTCTGATGAAGTTGTACAACGTTTGCAATATCCTAGAGTACATTATTAAATATTAATTTTGTCATTATCACTTCATTGTAATCATTTTCAGGATTGTATTTGCACAGATTTTTGCCAGGAATGTAGTGTTGAATTTACNTCAGTATTACCTAAAACTTTATCGAATATTTCGGGCGGGAAGGGAAGGACATGCTTGTTTGTCACCTTAATCTAACTTGCACTTAAATTTACATAGTAGACAATCCCCCCCCCCCTTTCCCCTAAATATTCCGCAAAGTACCTACATATGCCCCATGTAATGTTTTCAGAAAAACGTAAACATGGGAATAACAATACCTGTGTGGTAAAAAAAAGTCAACATAGGGGGTTTCCTTCCCATAATTGCATTTTTGTGCTATAAACACGAAAGCAAAGAATTTGTTTATCGCTTCCGATTCGAGTCACCTAAAATCCCTTTAGATATCATCTAGTCCATAAAGGCGCTTGTAAATTCTGCAGTGTATACATAAACCCCTTTTTTTTTCAGTTGAGTAAACTACAAAATGGAAAGCTGTGGGGGATGCACTGTTCCATTAAGAACATTTTTAAAAATTGATAAATTGGAATTTTTAAAGCAGCATGGGGTTATTCTTAGCCAAAAGGAATGCCCCAGCTGCAGGAACCAGTGCATCCTCAGCCCCGACTTTTTTTGGCGCTGCCAAAAAACAAATAAAATGCGGGTGGGGAAGAAACTACTTAAAACATCGTGTAATTTCAAGGAAAGCTTGCGGAAAAACACATTCTTTAGTAATTCTAACCTTTCAATTAACGATATATGTGACTATGTGGCTTTAGAATGTTGTACGAATTCACCGAAAACCCAATTTTTGGAAAACGAGTTTGGCATGAGTTCGGAAACGGTTGTAGATTGGAATAGTTATTTGAGGGAAGTTTATGTTAATTGGGCAATAGAGAACACTAGCGAAAAATTGGGCGGCGAAGGGCTAATTGTAGAAATTGAAGAGACCAAAATGGGAAAAATAAAATATAATCAAGGTAGAGTTGTTGAGGGTCAGTGGGTTTTCGGTGGATTCGAACGAAATTCTAAGAAGCTGTTCATGATTCCTGTGCCAGACAGAACATCCAACACACTGTTGGATGTTATTAAACAAAAAATTCTGCCTGGCACAGTAATCATGTCAGACTGCTGGAAAGCATACGATTGCCTCAGTAGTCACGATTACCAACATCTCACGGTGAATCATACCTACAACTTTGTGCATTCCAAATCAAACATCCCAAAGTTGGGACACAGACACGAAAATTTCACAGGGTATTTGGCTGAACACTTATTTAGAAAAAAATACAATAACCACACAGACAGAATACACAATTTATTTTTGGCCATCGGCAATTTATGTACGCCACAAAATTAGTTCACCGTCAGATTTTGCCGGGCTGCATTTTTTTCAAAATTTTATTTTTTCTAAATTTGTTATAAGTTAGTTTCTTCCCCAAAAACCATTTTTGAAGTGGAACATCTTTATGGGCGATAGGACGGAAATTTACTAGTATATAAAACTGAATACTGTATCGTTAGGATGGGTCACGCGCCACTTGTCCACTTGGATATGTCCAAAAGAAGTCATTCTAACGAGCTTCAGAAGCTACCCTGCTAGTAGCAACCGATAATCCCAAAAGATTGCCATTTCGACAAATTGTTAGCATATCGCGCCTACGCTGTGCTGTATATGTATTGCATATGCATTTGTGTTTGTTCGTTTTGATTTGTCATTCCCTTCTGCATTTTCGTGTGGTGCGAGAACAAAAGTTCTTAACTAAACTGAACCATTATTCTACACACGTCCGCTCTAAATAAAGTATTTTTTCTGATGTTTAGTAATTAGTTAATGCAATAGTTTAAGCCAATTTTTCTAAAAAATACTAGAACATTCAATGTAAATAAGTTTTACTTCTTACGCGTGTACATTAGTACACGCTCGCTCTTTTTTTACTTAATATTCGGTTGTATATGTGTTATGTGAAGATAGACTAATTAATTTACGTTATTGTTCAAGTTTACAATTTTAATTTTAGTTTAGTGCATTACATTGTTCAATTGTTAAAGTGCCTTAAACACTAAAATGATTTTCGTTTGTGTATTTCTAATAAACATTTTATTTGAACTTATGATTCTTTTGGAGAAATGAAAAGGTATGATTATGCAAACGTCTAGATTTTTTTTGGGGTTTCCTTGGACGGAATTCCGGGCACCACAATTCGGCCATGACATTGTCTTCTTAACATTCCAACGTAGAGCCAAACAGACCCCTCAAAAGCACCGCTCCAGTAAGAACAGTAACTTTAATCGATGCAATGTGGTTATTTTGTACAGTTCACCGGACACTAAGCGTCCATTTAAGTTGCATATACGACCAGTAATAATAATATACGTCCAATAACGGGATCGACGCATTTCACCCACGGGATGTTCTGCGCTCCAGTATGTAAAAAGCGCCGCAATTCTGCTAATCTTCGCCACATTTTATTTGTTTGTTTATTTATTTATTTAACGGTAACATTTCAGCAACTACTTCAGGAGATACACCGTTTTACAAACAAGAAGCGGCAATATAGACGCGGTCGCGGTAGTCGAATGGGCCCAATTGAAATCTTCGTAACAGTGCAACTAAATTTTGCGGTATTTTGTTAATTATATTCGTGAAAAATTCCACGAAAGCGCTGCAGAACGTCGACTTCTAACGCGCCCAGACTTTGTCGTTAAGTTTTTACAAACAAAAGTAAATGTCTCTTGTCAAACAAATAAAATTGTGAGAATTCTCGACTACTACGAAGCCGTTTAGTGTCAATGGCGGGTCGATTAATTTCACAGTTTTGTATTTCTTACGAAAGTATCACATTCTGCATTTCCTTCGACGTACCAAAATCCAACTGCACATTTCCATTATGTACTTCACCTCAACGATACATTCAAAGAAATCAACACAATTACTACTTCGTACTTTCTATACATTTACGCACATTAGAACTACTATAAACGTGTAAAATAAAACAATTTATGTCATTTCTGAAAAAATCGCGAAGAAAGAGCTGCCAACTAATGTAGGTATAAAATAACCTAATTGTGAGTATATATTCCCATGAACCAAGCAATTCCTACGTACATTATATAAAAAAACAACAATTGAGTAGTAAAGTACATATGCCCCATGTAATGTTTTCAGAAAAACGTAAACATGGGAATAACAATACCTGTGTGGTAAAAAAAAGTCAACATAGGGGGTTTCCTTCCCATAATTGCATTTTTGTGCTATAAACACGAAAGCAAAGAATTTGTTTACCGCTTCCGATTCGAGTCACCTAAAATCCCTTTAGATATCATCTAGTCCATAAAGGCGCTTGTAAATTCTGCAGTGTATACATAAACCCCTTTTTTTTTCAGTTGAGTAAACTACAAAATGGAAAGCTGTGGGGGATGCACTGTTCCATTAAGAACATTTTTAAAAATTGATAAATTGGAATTTTTAAAGCAGCATGGGGTTATTCTTAGCCAAAAGGAATGCCCCAGCTGCAGGAACCAGTGCATCCTCAGCCCCGACTTTTTTTGGCGCTGCCAAAAAACAAATAAAATGCGGGTGGGGAAGAAACTACTTAAAACATCGTGTAATTTCAAGGAAAGCTTGCGGAAAAACACATTCTTTAGTAATTCTAACCTTTCAATTAACGATATATGTGACTATGTGGCTTTAGAATGTTGTACGAATTCACCGAAAACCCAATTTTTGGAAAACGAGTTTGGCATGAGTTCGGAAACGGTTGTAGATTGGAATAGTTATTTGAGGGAAGTTTATGTTAATTGGGCAATAGAGAACACTAGCGAAAAATTGGGCGGCGAAGGGCTAATTGTAGAAATTGAAGAGACCAAAATGGGAAAAATAAAATATAATCAAGGTAGAGTTGTTGAGGGTCAGTGGGTTTTCGGTGGATTCGAACGAAATTCTAAGAAGCTGTTCATGATTCCTGTGCCAGACAGAACATCCAACACACTGTTGGATGTTATTAAACAAAAAATTCTGCCTGGCACAGTAATCATGTCAGACTGCTGGAAAGCATACGATTGCCTCAGTAGTCACGATTACCAACATCTCACGGTGAATCATACCTACAACTTTGTGCATTCCAAATCAAACATCCCAAAGTTGGGACACAGACACGAAAATTTCACAGGGTATTTGGCTGAACACTTATTTAGAAAAAAATACAATAACCACACAGACAGAATACACAATTTATTTTTGGCCATCGGCAATTTATGTACGCCACAAAATTAGTTCACCGTCAGATTTTGCCGGGCTGCATTTTTTTCAAAATTTTATTTTTTCTAAATTTGTTATAAGTTAGTTTCTTCCCCAAAAACCATTTTTGAAGTGGAACATCTTTATGGGCGATAGGACGGAAATTTACTAGTATATAAAACTGAATACTGTATCGTTAGGATGGGTCACGCGCCACTTGTCCACTTGGATATGTCCAAAAGAAGTCATTCTAACGAGCTTCAGAAGCTACCCTGCTAGTAGCAACCGATAATCCCAAAAGATTGCCATTTCGACAAATTGTTAGCATATCGCGCCTACGCTGTGCTGTATATGTATTGCATATGCATTTGTGTTTGTTCGTTTTGATTTGTCATTCCCTTCTGCATTTTCGTGTGGTGCGAGAACAAAAGTTCTTAACTAAACTGAACCATTATTCTACACACGTCCGCTCTAAATAAAGTATTTTTTCTGATGTTTAGTAATTAGTTAATGCAATAGTTTAAGCCAATTTTTCTAAAAAATACTAGAACATTCAATGTAAATAAGTTTTACTTCTTACGCGTGTACATTAGTACACGCTCGCTCTTTTTTTACTTAATATTCGGTTGTATATGTGTTATGTGAAGATAGACTAATTAATTTACGTTATTGTTCAAGTTTACAATTTTAATTTTAGTTTAGTGCATTACATTGTTCAATTGTTAAAGTGCCTTAAACACTAAAATGATTTTCGTTTGTGTATTTCTAATAAACATTTTATTTGAACTTATGATTCTTTTGGAGAAATGAAAAGGTATGATTATGCAAACGTCTAGATTTTTTTTGGGGTTTCCTTGGACGGAATTCCGGGCACCACAATTCGGCCATGACATTGTCTTCTTAACATTCCAACGTAGAGCCAAACAGACCCCTCAAAAGCACCGCTCCAGTAAGAACAGTAACTTTAATCGATGCAATGTGGTTATTTTGTACAGTTCACCGGACACTAAGCGTCCATTTAAGTTGCATATACGACCAGTAATAATAATATACGTCCAATAACGGGATCGACGCATTTCACCCACGGGATGTTCTGCGCTCCAGTATGTAAAAAGCGCCGCAATTCTGCTAATCTTCGCCACATTTTATTTGTTTGTTTATTTATTTATTTAACGGTAACATTTCAGCAACTACTTCAGGAGATACACCGTTTTACAAACAAGAAGCGGCAATATAGACGCGGTCGCGGTAGTCGAATGGGCCCAATTGAAATCTTCGTAACAGTGCAACTAAATTTTGCGGTATTTTGTTAATTATATTCGTGAAAAATTCCACGAAAGCGCTGCAGAACGTCGACTTCTAACGCGCCCAGACTTTGTCGTTAAGTTTTTACAAACAAAAGTAAATGTCTCTTGTCAAACAAATAAAATTGTGAGAATTCTCGACTACTACGAAGCCGTTTAGTGTCAATGGCGGGGCGATTAATTTCACAGTTTTGTATTTCTTACGAAAGTATCACATTCTGCATTTCCTTCGACGTACCAAAATCCAACTGCACATTTCCATTATGTACTTCACCTCAACGATACATTCAAAGAAATCAACACAATTACTACTTCGTACTTTCTATACATTTACGCACATTAGAACTACTATAAACGTGTAAAATAAAACAATTTATGTCATTTCTGAAAAAATCGCGAAGAAAGAGCTGCCAACTAATGTAGGTATAAAATAACCTAATTGTGAGTATATATTCCCATGAACCAAGCAATTCCTACGTACATTATATAAAAAAACAACAATTGAGCGGGTATCATGTCGAACGAACGAAACTTAAACTGTAGAAACGAATTCGGAAACATTCGAATGGTGATTATAAGTTCCCATTGTGATACGGTCGGCTGTGACTATTACCTATCGCACGTCAACTATTAGTGACTGTGAAATTCGCAAAGGTCATGTGTTCATAAAATGTTTATTTACATAAAAAATTGTTTAAAACACCTTCCCTCTGATTGTTTTCTTGTATTTCTTCAATAAATATAGTAGTGTAAGCTTTTTATAAAAGAAGAAAGTTATTTTCGATAAAGGAAACGACTTTTAATTAATAGTAGCTGTCAACTTTGACGTGTGATCTACAAATATTAATTTGCAAAAAAAGCGTTAAAAAGGCCCTCTCTCGGATTTTTTCATGTAAATTCTTCATAATTAGGTCATTTTACGTCATTTCCAAAAAAAAAGTTGCATTTTCGAAAAAGCCGTGATTCGGAATTTTTACCCAAATAAAAAGTAATACGACTGAGCAAAGCAGGACAACTAATAATTTATGTAGAAAAAAGTCGAGATATAGTCGAATACCGTGCGTGACTTCAGAGTACAGACGTTCAACTTCAATGCAACAGTCGTCTAATAATGAGACAGACATGGGGCAGTGCATTTTGAGACTGATCGGAGAAAGCGATGTCTGACATGTTCAAGTCACGACGACAAGCATTTCTGTTTAGGGTTCTATATCTGCGATGCATTAGTAAGAACGGACTGTCGAAGTGAGGTATAAACGAAAACTTAGTGTCTAACACAACCCCCAAATCTTTCATCTCACGCACACGTTTTCGCTAATCTCGAACCCGCTGGTTACATCATCGTCGTGGCAACATACGTCAATCTGAAGTACAATGACGCTTCGAGGAGTTTATTTCGCTGCAAAATACCTTACAAACAGTTTTGCATTTTCGCGTGGTGTGTCAGCACACTCATCCCTCAGGAATATACGATCGGGTATACTTACGTCTGACTTATTTCTATTGACCATAATGGGAGGGGGGTTCTTAAAGAGAAACCAAACTAAGACAAGTTCCTGAAGGAGAGCAGCAGCTTTTTTAGTGCTCAGAGTGACAGAAATCACGAGAATCGATATAGCACTCTGATGTACAACACTTCAATGTGGAAGGCAACGGGAAACTACCACACTGATATCTCAGGTAAAACAAACCTAACTCTAATTATGGCGTCCTCTGGGGTAAAACACTCGGAAACTAGTCCTTCGTTGGAATGTCCGGGCGGGGACTACCTCGGGGGATGTCATCAATAAGTACAAAAGGGGAAGGTGCATTAATTTCATGAGTCGGAACGTGGAATGTTAGAACAATGAGACAAGTAGGGAAATTAGAGAATTTGAAAGTTGAGATGTATAGACTAAAATTAGATGTAGTAGGTAGGCATTAGTGAAGTCCGTTGACCAGAAGCTGAAGACTTCTGGAGTGGAGACTTTAGAACAATACATATCGGATTGGTGGAAGGTCATTAGGGGGTAGGAATTATGATATGTAGGAAAGCAGGGCAGAGTGTAGAAAGTTATTTACAAAAACGCGATAGGATAGTTATGGTTAAATTAAACTCGAAGCCGGTGAAAACACAGTTTTTTGCCAGGAATGTAGTGTTGAATTTACCTTAGATGTCAAATGTACAGATGATCAAACACGTCATGTTACCACAGCAGACTTAAAATCAAGTGATCCCCGTGTTATTCCTGTTACATCAAAGCATAGAGATGATGATTCATCAGAGTATGGAGAAACAGATGAAATTTTAATAATTAAATTACGCAAAGGTCAAGAATTAAAAATGAGAGCATATGCAAAAAAAGGTAATGTTTAAATTTAAGATGTGTAGTAATCAAAAATGTTTGTATTTAAGGATTCGGAAAAGAGCATGCCAAGTGGAATCCTACAGCAGGTGTTAGTTTTGAGTATGATCCTGATAATATAATGAAACACACTCTGTACCCCAAACCAGATGAATGACCAAAAAGTGAATATACTGAATTGGATGATGATCAATGTATGCATTACTGTGTCAGTTAATTTAAAATACTATTTATTGTGCTGTTTTGTAGATGAAGCAGAGTTCAATTGGGAAGCTAAACCAAATAAATTTTTCTTTAATGTCGAATCTTCAGGAGCTTTAAAACCAGAGAATATTGTTATCATGGGGGTTGCTATGTTAAAGGATAAATTATCTAACCTTCAGACTCAACTTAGTCATGAATTACAATCAGATGCATTGGCCATATAGAAATTGTAATAAAACACATTTTTGTGTTCTCTTAAGAATTACTGAGAATACCGGTAAAAAAAAATGTATGAAGTGTATTGTAAAAGAAAATGGAAAACCAGTACATTTTATTTTATTATAATATTAGCTTTTCCCCTTGGCTTTGCGCTCGCAGAAATTAATATTGTTTCTCTGTAAAACCTTTTAACTCCCAATTCACCCTTACAACGTTTCAATTTTATGTAATGTCGCCATCTTAGATTTCAAATACAAACGTAGCAACAACATTTCATCCTTCAGGGTTGATTTTTAAAAATTGTCAAAATATGGATTTACTTAATTTCAACAATGAGCAACCTTCGAGTAAATCCGAATACAAATAAAATATGCCCCACTTTGCAACCTCTTTATTTGATTAATAATATCAAACAGCATATATAAAAAGTTTAAAGTAAATTCAACCACAAACACATTATGACCCAAACCCCTTTAGAGGTTGAATTTTTTAAAACGTGAGAGACCTTTAATCAAGTAAATCTGACGACAAATAATATATGCAACTTTTTTTTTCTGGAAATGACGTAAAATGGCCTAATTATGAAAAAATCCGGGGGAGGGTATTTTTAGCGTCACTAATACATATCCAAACCTATACATATATGATACCTGCACCTTTTACAAATTGGAACAGTATGTACCTATTTGTAAATTTATTTTAAAAACAACTGCTCAGTAGATATCACTTTTTAAGTGAACGAAACTTAAACTGTACCTAGAGGCGAACTCAGAAACGGCAGACTAGACATGACTATGACGTATGATAAATGACTATGAAATTTGTTAGGTTGTATACCTATAAAACACTTACTTGCACCGAAAAAACATTAAAACACCTTTCCTTCGACGTTTTCTTATCAGTTTCTTATAAATACACCATCTCTAACTAAAACCCGTACTACAGGAGTTGAATTATTAATGAAAATTAAAGTGGCGACTATGAAAATGAGGTGTGAACTTTGACGTGTGATCTACAAATATTAATTTGCAAAAAAAGCGTTCAAAAGGACCCTCTCCCGGATTATTTCATGTAAGTTTTTCATAATTAGGCCATTTTACGTCATTTCCAGCAAAAAAAGGTTGCATTTTCAAAAAAGCCGCGATTCGGAAGTTTTAACAAAATGCTTGAAGCTTTTTGAAAGGTTCGCATTAGCCAGATGTTAAGAACAGAATACCATCGCCGTAGGCGTTGATAAAACAATATCCAAATGTTTTAATTATTCTCATAAATATAATTAAAAATAATCAATTCTGTAGCAAGTGCATTGAAATATAATTTAGTTCAGAAACAATATCCAGGAAAATTAATTGTAAGTTAAATTGTTAATTATTCTTCTTCTCCCACATTGTTTTTTAAATTCAAAATGATGAATATTGAAAACGATATATTGTAACTATTTGACTAGATAATACTTGGAATTTTTTTGCGACAGTAGTAGGGGTAAAAANGAACCATCGCCGTAGGCGTTGATAAAACAATATCCAAATGTTTTAATTATTGTTATAAATATAATTGAACAAATTCAATTCTGTAGCAAATGTAGACAAATAATTTAGTTCACAGACAATATACAGGAAAATTAATTGTAAGTTAAATTGTTAATTATTCTTCTTCTCCCACATTGTTTTTTAAATTCAAAATGATGAATATTGAAAACGATATATTGTAACTATTTGACTAGATAATACTTGGAATTTTTTTGCGACAGTAGTAGGGGTAAAAAAATTCTGTATAAATAAATAAAATCAATTAAAATTTATCAATTATTGTCGGGACTGTATTGAATTGTATGTATATGTTTAAATTGAAATTCTACACAATAAAATGAATTTATCAATGGTAACAACGCCTGGTTGGTATACGTTCGGACGCGCGTTATAACAAAATTTGGTAATAGTAAATACTATCGCTGAGCTTGCTACGGCAGATGAACTTAATATATAAAATAGGCAATGATAGGCAGGCTGCTTGGAGATGTATATGCATGAGTAACGTTATTGTTTGGTTAGGTTAGTTTTGAAGATGTATAGGCATCAGTGACGTAATTGTATGGTTACTAGGCCTTGACCGCCGGAGGCGGGCTGATAGATGCAGTATATGAGATAGGTAATAATACGGCAAGCTGTTTAAAGATGTACCTATATCCATTGGTGACGTCTATTTCATATATGGTATTGTAGCGACCACGAGCGTGATTGTGTGCGATCGGGCATACGTGTGTGTGAGTGGCTTATCGATTCGCCGACAAGCCGCGGGCGCTTTTCTTCATTTGCGCTGTATCTGTAACCGTTTGTCGTACCTGCGTTCCGGGAAAGCAATTAAACCGTTCAAAGAAAACGAGACTTCTCTGGACGGCTGGAGAATGTTCCCGAAAGGAGGCAAAGGAGTATAAAAAGGAAGAGACGATCGCCGTAGTGGAGGAGAAATAAATTGACGTTGCAGAAGTGAATCAAGAGATAAATTGACAGCGATAGAAGTGAAATAAATAGAACAGTGAATAGTAACAGTAGTGTAAATAAATAGAATAATTACCGAAGTTTAGTAATAATTTAATAGTGTTTTTAAGTTTAATAGTAATTAGTGTAAATAAATAATTTTCTTCTTAAAATTTAATTTGTTNGAAAAGGTATGATTATGCAAACGTCTAGATTTTTTTTGGGGTTTCCTTGGACGGAATTCCGGGCACCACAATTCGGCCATGACATTGTCTTCTTAACATTCCAACGTAGAGCCAAACAGACCCCTCAAAAGCACCGCTCCAGTAAGAACAGTAACTTTAATCGATGCAATGTGGTTATTTTGTACAGTTCACCGGACACTAAGCGTCCATTTAAGTTGCATATACGACCAGTAATAATAATATACGTCCAATAACGGGATCGACGCATTTCACCCACGGGATGTTCTGCGCTCCAGTATGTAAAAAGCGCCGCAATTCTGCTAATCTTCGCCACATTTTATTTGTTTGTTTATTTATTTATTTAACGGTAACATTTCAGCAACTACTTCAGGAGATACACCGTTTTACAAACAAGAAGCGGCAATATAGACGCGGTCGCGGTAGTCGAATGGGCCCAATTGAAATCTTCGTAACAGTGCAACTAAATTTTGCGGTATTTTGTTAATTATATTCGTGAAAAATTCCACGAAAGCGCTGCAGAACGTCGACTTCTAACGCGCCCAGACTTTGTCGTTAAGTTTTTACAAACAAAAGTAAATGTCTCTTGTCAAACAAATAAAATTGTGAGAATTCTCGACTACTACGAAGCCGTTTAGTCAATGGCTGGTCGATTAATTTCACAGTTTTGTATTTCTCACGAAAATATCAAATTCTGCATTTCTTTCGACGTACCAAAATCCGACTGCACATTTCCATTATTAAATCAACAGAATTACTACTTCGTACTTTCTATACATTTACGCACATTAGAACTACTATATACGGGTAAAATAAAACAATTTATGTCATTTCTGAAAAAATCACGAAGAAAGAGCCGCCAACTAATGTATAAAATAACCTAATTAAAAAAAAAAACCTAATTGTGAGTATATATTCCCATGAACCAAGCAATTCCTACGTACATTATATAAAAAAACAACAATTGAGTAGTTTTAAATTAAAAATTGACATAGAAAAGCTAAAATGTAATGAAACGTGTGATAGGCTAGGTACAAGGACAGACGAATATTAAAGGAGGCGGGAGAAACGAATGACAGGGTCATAGAGACATAATGGAACTGCATTAAAACGTGCTTAAAGTAAGCAACTACAGATGTATTACGTCTTAAAACAAAACGAAAGTAGGTAACCCTGGATAACAAACGAGATTGTAGGGTTAATAGAAGAAATACAAAAACAGGACAGACGAAGAAGGACAAAAAAAATATACAGCTATAAAGTGGGAAATAATTAGGAAGTGTAGGGCAGCTAAGGAACAGTGGATTGATAAGATGTGTAAAGAAGTAGAAGAAAAGTTTGAAGTAGGTAAAACTGATGAGTTTTATAATATTATATCATCATCGTAGTGTCGTCAATTCCAAAACTGGTTGGACACGTACCTCCACTGTTTCCTATCCTGAGTAAACTTCGTATATCCCTAAGACTAGAACAGCCCACATCCTTAACTATTGCTAACAGTAATCTAATCTAGGTCTACCTCTACCCCTCCCAACTCCTGTTTCTGCCTCTAATATGTCTCTGACTAGAACTTCATGCCTGAGAAGGTGTCCTACAAACCTATCTCGCCTATTTTTTATTGACTTCCATAGAGTCCTTTGTTCTCCTATTCTTTCTAATACCTTTTCATTTCTAACCTTTTCTACCCACGTTATCCTCATCATCCGCCTATAACACCACATTTTGAAGGCTTCTAACCTTTCCTTTTCAGCCGCGCTCACTCTCCATGTTTCGCACCCGTACAACGCCGTGCTCCAAACATACACCCTTAACAACCCTTTTCCAATTTCTAATTTAACCGTTTGCGAGCATAGTGACTTCTTTTTATTAAAGGCGACACGACTCTGCGCTATCCTCTGCTTTATATTCCTCCTACTCCTTCCGTCCTGACTTATCTGACATCCTTGATATTGAAATCTGCTACTTCTTCTAATTTTTCGTCTCTATTTTAGTTTTACTTTTATTTATTTTCATACAGTACTGATCCGACTCGTGAAATATTGCACCCATCCGAATGGGGGACTAGTTTACGTCTGTAGTGTTTTACCCCAGAGGACACCATAATTAGAGTTCGGTTTGTTTTTCTTGAGATATCAGTGTGGTGGTTTCCCGTTGCCTTCCACATCGCAGTATAGTGCATCAGGGTGCCATACCGATCCTATGGATCTCTACCACCCTGAGTATTGAAAGAGCTGCTGCCCTCTTTTAGGGACTTATCTTAGTCTAGTTTCTCTTTAAGAATCCCTCCATTATGGTTGAACCTATGGTCCGGTTCCCTAAATCATCGAAACTTGCAAGCTGATCCACCCACTCTAGTTTGTACAAGAGTTTCGTCAAGGTTCAAGTCCCGTCCGATATATAAACGAAATTTTGAACACCCTTTAAAATGAAAATACTAGTGTACAAGGGAAGAAAAAGTAAGGAAAGAGCGAATATAAAGATAGGAGACGAAAGATTAGAAGAAGTGGCTGATTTTAAGTATCTAGGAAACAGATAAGTCAAGACGGAAGGAATAGGGATATAAAGCAGAGGATAGCGCAGAGTCGTGTCGTCTTTAATAAAAAGAAGTCACTTCTATGCTCGCAAACGGTTAAATTAGAAATTGGAAAAAGGTTGTTAAGGGTGTATGTTTGGAGCACGGCGTTGTACGGGTGCGAAACATGGAGAGTGAGCGTGGCGGAAAAGGAAAGGTTGGAAGCCTTCAAAATGTGGTGTTATAGGCGGATGATGAGGATAACGTGGGTAGAAAAGGTTAGAAATGAAAAGGTATTAGAAAGAATAGGAGAACAAAGGACTCTATGGAAGTCAATAAAAAATAGGCGAGATAGGTTTGTAGGACACCTTTTCAGGCATCTAATCAGGGACATACTAGGGGCAGAAACTGGAGTTAAGAGGAGCAAAGCTAGACCTTCGATTAGATTACTGTTCGCAAATAGTTAAGGATGTGGGATGTTGTAGTTTTAGGGAAATGCGAGGATTAGCTCAGGGTAGGAAGGAGTGGCGTTGCGTGTCCAACCAGTCTTAAGACTGACGACCTTATGATGATAATGAAATATAATTGTAAATTTATTTTTGCTAAGTTCAATACTTTTTCCAATTTCTCATTCACCCCTCTACTAATAGTTGGTTTTGTCCCTTAGTTTCTCATACTTGTGTAGGCATTTCATATCAGTCAGTATTTATTCATTTACAATATTCTTTCTATTTACTAATAATCCTATCCTATTGAAGAATTGATTTTGCATTATAGTCGCAATAAAATTTCTTTGTATTTTTAATACCAAGAATTATAATAACTATAAGTACTAAATGTATGAGAATTTTTTTTATTTCGTCATAAAATGTAAAATTCAAATTTGGGCGTGTAGTTCAATTGTAAAAAAGTAACTACTTTTGTGAAACTCCCCTTCCTACGAAAATATTTTCTGCGTTAGCCCTTGTTGCTGACCAAGTCCCATAACACTTCTTAAATGCACCACTTGGCAACCAATTATAAATAAACTCAAAGCCGTGCACAGTGCACATGTGCTGCAGCAATTTAATTAGAAAAAAAATCCTGCTATATATCTCATATCTGTTATCCCTAGATGTCCAGAGTTGTTTATTAGTCTATGGTTGTCTTTGATCTAGAATATCTATGGTCTAGGTACTCATTAACCTATACTGTTAGCCTAATATAACAATTAAAAACCGTTGTTTATCTTTAAAGAATTCTTTAAAATTTTTTCCGATCAAAATAGAAGAAATATTAATTGCTAATCTTTCTGCATTTGATGCAGATTGTTCCAATGTAGTGATAGTACGATTTTTTAATCTCTTCTAAGATTCATTCTGATGGTAATCTGTTTATTTTATTAAAAGTTATGGGTGAATATTTAGATTCAATGAAAGGTAAATCATTATCCACGGTATTTGGAGATCCTTCGCAATATCGCTTACCGATTAAAGAGGTTGAAGAAAAGTGGAAATTGGTTCCTGCATTTTTAAAAATCAAAGGCCTTGTGAAGCAACATATTGATTCATTTAATTATTTTATCAATGTAGAAATCAAAAAAATAGTTGAGGCCAATTCTAAAGTAACTTGTGATGCTGATCCTCTATTCTATCTTAAATATACTAATGTTTATGTTGGAACTCCAGATGTAGATGAAGGTTTTAATATAAGTAAACAAACAACTCCTCATGAATGTAGATTGCGAGATCTTACCTATTCTGCACCAATAACAGTTGATATTGAATACACGAGGGAAAATCAACGAGTTGCAAAAACGGGAATGTTAATTGGTAGAATGCCTATTATGTTGCGTTCGTCAAATTGTGTTTTGAGCAATAAATCAGAATTTGAGCTCGCTAAGATGAATGAATGTCCATTAGATCCTGGTGGATATTTTGTTGTTAAAGGGCAAGAAAAAGTTATATTAATTCAAGAACAATTATCTAAAAATAGAATGATTGTTGAAGAGGGCAAATTTGGAATCCAGTGTACTGTTACTAGTTCAACACATGAAAAGAAATCTCGAACTATAGTGTTTGTAAAAGGAAATAAGTATTATCTCCAACACAATGCTTTCAATGAAATTATTCCAATTTCTATAATTTTTAAAGCAATGGGAGTTACAAGTGATCAGGAAATTTGCCAACTTATTGGTGTTTCAAACATGGAAAAATTTATGTCTACCTTAGAAGAATGCCATAATTTGGATATATTTACTCAAACTGCAGCTTTGAAACATTTGGGATCTAAGCTAGTTGCAAAGCGTTTTGTTACTGCAGCCAGTAAGGTTAAAACACCTGTTGATGAAGCAAGAGATTTGTTGGCTACAACAGTTTTAGCTCATGTTCCAGTAGAAGAGTTTAATTTTCGAACAAAATCGATCTATATGGCATTAATGATTCGCAGAGTTATGGATGCTGAAGTAAACAAAAAACTCCTTGATGATCGTGATTATTACGGTAATAAGCGTCTTGAATTAGCTGGCTCTTTAATATCGCTCATGTTTGAAGATGCATTTAAAAGATTTAACTGGGAATTGAAATCAATTGCTGAAAAAACTATTCCAAAAATTCGGGCAACACAGTTTGATGTTATCAAATATATGCGTTCCGATTTAATTACAAATTGCCTTGTATTTGCAATTTCTTCAGGAAACTGGACTATTAAACGTTTCCGAATGGAACGGTTAGGGGTGACACAAGTTCTCTCAAGGCTCAGCTACATTTCTGCTCTTGGTATGATGACAAGAGTAAATTCGCAGTTTGAAAAAACACGAAAAGTTTCTGGACCTCGTTCTCTTCAACCGAGTCAATGGGGAATGTTATGCCCAAGTGATACTCCTGAAGGAGAAGCATGTGGTTTGGTAAAAAATTTGGCTCTAATGACGCACATTACTACCGAAGTAGACGAATATCCCGTTGTACGTATGGCTATTAATTCTGGAGTTTTAGACATTAATACAGTAGGCACTGAAGTCCTAAGTTCTTCAAAGATATACTTAGTATTTTTGAATGGTAATATATTGGGTGTTATCAGGAATTACAAACGTTTAATTCAAGCTGTAAGATTGATGAGGAGGAAAGGAAAAATTTCTCAATTTATCTCAGTTTATCCAAATCATCAGCAAAAATGTATTTATATTAGTTCTGATGGAGGCCGGTTATGCCGTCCTTATATAATTGTAGAAGATGGAATTCCTTTGGTTACAGAAGATCACATCAATAAGTTGGAAAAAGGAATTGGAATGAGAACTTTTGATGATTTTTTACATATGGGTAATTCATTTTTTTTAATCATTAGTTTTTTGAATACTTATTCGTGTATAATTAATCTATATTGAAGTGGAAATTTGAAGCATAATATGAAATATTACATGTCATCAACATTTTGTAAATTTTGTTGTTTTTGTCTGTACCATGTATGCATTGTTTATTTTATTTTTAAAAATGCTTAAAATTATATTTTATAAAATTGCAGGGCTAATAGAATTTCTGGACGTGAATGAAGAAAATGATAGTTTAATTGCGTGTTATGAAAGAGACATAACTCTCCAGACAACTCATTTAGAAATAGCAACATTCACTATATTAGGCGTTTGCGCGGGTTTGATTCCATATCCTCACCACAATCAATCACCCCGTAATACATATCAATGCGCCATGGGTAAACAAGCCATGGGTTCAATAGGTTATAATCAGAAAAATCGCATGGACACTCTTCTTTATAATCTGGTTTATCCCCAAGCTCCTATGGTGAAAACTAAATCGATTGAATTGACACATTTTGATAAATTGCCTGCAGGTCAAAATGGTACTATTGCTGTTATGAGTTACAGTGGGTATGACATTGAAGATGCCTTGATTATTAACAAAGCCTCCATAGATAGGGGTTTCGGAAGATGTTTAGTGTATAAGAATACAAAATGTGTGATGAAACGATATGCCAATCAAACATTTGATAGAGTACAGGGGCCCGTTATTGATACTATGACAAATAAGCCTATTTGGAAACATCAAGTATTAGATAATGATGGGATAGTAGCTCCTGGAGAACTTGTAGAAAACAGGTAAATTTCCTATATTACTGATATTATTTTTAAACAAAGAAAATACTCTTTCAAATCAAAAAAGTTGATGACGGAATCATTAAATTTAACCACATAAACATACAATTAAGAAAATCCATTGTGGAACTAATAATTAAATAAACACTAAAAGCCCAAAATTCTTCATTCTCGGTTATTGACTGAGTCCCTAATTGACGATAACACTTTTAGTATTGAAAAGCATTTTAAGTTTCTAAACGTTACGTAGAATTATGCGTTTTTGGTGTTTGTTACATAAACAAAGGGTAATGATAAATATACACCTCAGATTTTCTTGAAATTTTAATATGTACTATTTGTTATGTTAATCAAGAAAATATATGATTTACATTGTAGTTGGCACCATACGGGAAGCTTGTTATTGGTTTTGTAAAAGAGTTATTCTTGATAAGAAGTTTTGCTTGGTCTAAAACCCAAATTAGACTAATCAAATATTAATTTTTCTGCAGTGATATGTGATCTATGTTAAAAAATATAATTTTTGCTCAGGGGTAAAGTACCTTTATTTTTACAAGCTTTTATTTAACTTGCAATGTGCGTATGTAAATTGTCCGCGTCAAATCTTTCAAGCCATTTTTCGACCACTTTTGGTTATCCGATTGAGCTGAAATTTAGCATACTTATGTACGTCCCGTGACAATGCAATATTGTGATATTAAGCTTTTATTTAAAAAAAAACGTGAACTAAAAAGGAAAAATAAAATTAAGTGACATGTCTTATATATGTATATATATGAGTATTGTTCGTGGTGGCGGTATGCCGCCGGTTTACTAATTTGGTGAAATCACTTCGAAGAAGTAATGGACGTCCCGTGACAATGCAATATTGTGATATTAAGCTTTTATTTAAAAAAAACGTGAACTAAAAAGGAAAAAATAAAATTAAGTGACATGTCTTATATATGTATATACATGAATATAGTAGATAAATTCTAGGTTCGGAGTGACCCCTCTCTTGATAATTTTAAAAACTCCAGGCACTGATAATGTATAGTGAACCTGCATAACGGATAGCGTACATCAGTGCCTCAAGCTTGTCGTTCTCGTTTTTCAAAAAGTATTAGATGTCTTGCTAACTTCATGTAGAGTTAGCAGACCACATATTGAAAAAAATATTAATATATAAAAAAATGNCTCCGAGAAATGATGTCTGGGCAAACCAGATAATAAACTTAGTTTAGCTGGTCGTAAGAATTGCATTTACGACCAGGGAAGAACATCTATTTACAAAATATACAAATGAAAGGAGATGAATAACCTAATAAACCTAAGAATTATACTAAAAATAAACATAAACTAAGAAATGTCTTTGTAACACCAAACAAATATAGTAGATAAATTCTAGTTTCGGAGTGACCCCTTCCTTGGTATTCATATAGTGATGAATTGTTAACTAATTAATAACAGGAGTGTTAATTAGTGAGTGATTTGTTAAATAAAGGTAATAAAATGCGAGGTGTTCAACTATGTGATATTTGGTATCAGGTGTGTGGTAGAAGACTGAAGAGAATTAGGATAGGAGAATTTTGAAGAATTTCATCGAATATTCTAGTGTTCATCAGCCAATTTTCTGGATGTTTTCGTTTGTTGCGAGAAATCCTAAAAAGTGATACATCGTTGAAAAGCTCTCGAAGAACGAAAAAAGAATCTGACATCACTAAAGAATTTCATCGTACTTTCTGGAAGTTTCCATTGACTGCGAGTAACCCTAACAAGTCAAGAGCGAATCTGACATTATCGAAGAGTTCCACCAAAGTTTCTGTAACATTTGGCCGATTGTGATTCACCCCAACAAACGATACATCATTGGAAAGCTCCCGAAGAAATAAGAATGATTTTACTAAAATCAAAGATTTTTATCGAACTTTCTAGAAGAATTCGAGATATTACATGCCTGTTACGACCAGAGCTACCGAAGCTAAAATGGAGGAACAAATAAAAACACTAATGACAATGATGGCAGAAGTGACTCAAAAAATGGAAAAAAGACAAGAAGGAATGGACTTGGAACAAAAAGAAATGAAATATAAAACGAAAGAGGCACAAGAAAAAACGAAGAATGGCCAGGAAGAAATGAAACAAGAATTGAAAACAGTACAAGATAACATGAAAATAGGACAAAAGAATTGAAATCATCTCAACAAGAAACGAAAAAAGGTCAGGAAGAAATGAAAGAAGAGTTGAAAGCAGTACAGAAAGCAATAAATACCAGAATGGAGGATCAAATAAATCATATTAGAAATGAAATGGAAAAGGAGATACAAGACATATAAAAAAGGGAAGTTAAGATGGAAAAGATAGAAGAAATAAAAGAAGATATTGAAAAGCTAAAGCTACCCTCTACTGCAAGAGTCGAAAATCCCAGTGCAAAGCCATCCAACTTTTGAAGGAAAGATCTCGTGGTCTGTATACCTGAAGCAGTTTGGAGTAGCGGCAGAGGCAAATTCATGGACTGATTTAAAGAAAGCAACAGCGCTAATAATTTGTTTACGAGGAGAGACGTTGAATATACTCCAAAGAATGCCCAAGTCTCAACAATATGACTTCCACCATCTTGTCAATTGTCTAGAAATGAGATATGGCGATAAACATCTACAGCAGGTACATCAGACGCAACCTGGTAAGAGTAGCCTACCCCTCTGCCCCTCAAGAGTTCATAGACTAACTGGCAGTGCAAACATTTATCGACGGAGTTAGGGACGGCGAACTACAGTAAGTTAGATTAGCACGCCATAAGAACCAAAGTGAAGCACTGTCACACGCCGTTGAGTTTGGAGCAGCTAAACAAGCTTCCAAAGGCCACGTACTTGTGCGATAGATATCGAGTATTTAACGTGCAGCTCCTTATCATGTTATGGTAAATCCACTCGCCAGTACTAGGTATATCTGTGTCCTGGGTGGCCTTGAGAGCCAATGGTGAGCCGCAGTAGTACGATTCTCTCAAGAACCCATTCATGCTACCATGTATCAAGTACCTTGCAGCCAGCTCGGATCAATCCATCTGCTCGACCTTATAGTGCGAACGTCTGGAATGAAGCGGTGTGTGGCGGCCGTTTACCGACAGGTCCCACCCGTCTTGCCACTTCCGTGTCATCCTTCTCTCTATCTATTTGCGCACTCCTGCTGTCGATTGGCCGACAATGCCATCATTGCTGACGTCGCCGGGCTCCGTCGGTATTCCACGCTTCGCCTTGAAAATGAGCGCCCGCCTCTCTGCCTCTAGCACCCATAGGATCTCTCCCATGAGCACCTGCATCGCATCGGTGGAGACGGTTCGACACACCTTCAAGCACGCCAAGAGTGTCACCCTTTCACATCGTCTCATAAATGCCCTTCCCACCACCGTACGTAGCGCCTGGTGCCAAACGCTTGATCCGTACATGGCATACGCAGTAGTAGGCAGTAGTAGGCCTTTGAACATACAGCAGACAGCCCGCTTGCCTAGCCCCCACTCCGTGCACAGTATTATTCACAGGGGCTCTACTACTATTAGCACTTTGTCCTTTAATGCTTCTAGGTGTGACCGAAAAGCCAACCTTTCTCCTACGCACACACCGAGGTATTTCATAGTGCGCACATACTGTACTGTGTACTCAACAGTGGTGGCCCGTTATAGGCCAACCTTTAGCAGCATACAACACGTCTTCTGGGTTGGTTATCAATGTTACTTTAAAATTTAGTGTTTCTTACGAATTCGTCGTAAAAAATGTACTATTCCATTTAAAGTAACAAAGTTGGCATCAACTTCAAGTATAATCGTATGTAGCCGACAATTGAAAATTTTTGAGCTAAAAAGATCATTTTCGATTCTCTTACTGTCAAGTTTTCAAATCTCTAATATGCTTAGTTTCTCTAAAACGTCTAATGCATAACTCAGTTTGAGGAACCCTGTATAAGGGGTTTCATTTAAAATAACAAAGTTAAGGTACACTTCTTATAAAACCGAAAGTCCACCATATTTGAAAATATTTTTACGCACTTAATTTTACACAATTTTTATTGAAACATTTTTGCATATTTTGAACCGTAAGTATACTACAGATTGATTCGGTCTTAATGACACACCCCGTATATTCTTGATTAGCATGACAAATAGTACCAAAAATGTACCAAAATTTCAAGAAAGCGAAGAGATGTGCACTAATCTCTACCTCTACCATTACCAAACAAAACATTTCTCTGCAGATTACTTGTACTTATAGCGAGTTTTTGGACCTCTATCAGCAAAAGTTATTTGCCATATGTTTAATAGAGACTGTTTACCATGGAAGTGCAATAATTACAAAAGTTATTTTAATTTTCCTTGTAGGCAAATATTAATAAACAAGTCGATGCCTATCACTTCATCAGTTCCTGGTAATACTACAAATAAAGTGGAATACAAAGAAACTCCAGTGGCTTATCGTAATGTCGAACCTAGTTACATAGAGCGCGTGTTAGTTTCTACAAATGAAGAAGATGCAGGTCTTATCAAAGTTTTGCTTCGACAAACTCGTCGCCCCGAAATTGGTGATAAGTTTAGTTCTCGGCATGGTCAAAAAGGTGTTATAGGATTGGTTGTTGAACAACAAGACATGCCTTTTAATGAATATGGAATTTGTCCAGATATTATTATGAATCCTCATGGTTATCCATCGCGGATGACGGTGGGAAAATTAATAGAACTCCTTGCAGGAAAAGCAGGATTAATGGAGGGAAAATTTCATTATGGTACTGCTTTTGAAGGTTCGAAAGTTTCCGATGTCAGCGAGGAATTAATTCGACATGGATTTAATTATCAAGGTAATTTTTTACAATCTTTAATTTTAAAAACTTTAATCAAAGCGACAAAATTATTTTCGATAAATATAAATTTTATAAAGCAAAAATGGTTTAATATAGAAGTTTATGCTCAGTAATATTCCTAGATCTGCGTATTCTGCCGCACCATGTAGTCGCGTTTAAAATTTGCTGAACACGAGAATCTTTGCAAGTCGTTAAAAGTGAAATTGATATTTATTTATTTATTTATACAGTGAAAATGACGGACTGACGTCCACTACAATAATTATGACAAAGAACATTTAAATATATGTAAATCAATCTCACACATTAGCCGAATACAGCAAAAATAAATATAGGAGAAGTAAGGGAGGGATGGGCAGTTGGGAGGCATGGACATTCTTTCGTAATTTAAATTTTATTTTAGATTTTCTTTGGGTTGGTACATTAGTTTGCTTACGGGTAATAGCGTTTGTCCGTAATCTATGTATCATTACAGTCAGTTGTTAATGTTTAAAGCGTTTTGTGTTTATATGTAGTGAATGTATATCTTTTGTTGTAATAAACAATAAAAGAAAAAAAACACCGATGCTGCAGGTGTATTGTTATTAAATTCAGTATCCATTTTATATATTTTTTGTATATGTTCTAAAAATGTTTATTCTATTTCTATCCCCAGTTCTACTACGATAAAAACTTTACATACCTCTAATTAGCCTTTCAAATAATATTATTTGTCTTTAAATAATTTGCGCTCAATCCTACATATTCTTCCAATAATTGCATTAGTTTTTGATTGTTTATGGGTATATTGTCATAATTATTTTCCAAAAAGCTTATCATAAATATGTATATTTAAAACTGTTTCCTGCTTTTCCATTTTATATCTTTGTTTTTGTTTCTCTTTTTGCTTTAACCTACCCAAGTTTGATTATTTTTTATTTCTCGCTGTTCAATTTTAATCCTTTTTTCTCTGAATATTTTTCTAATACCCTTACAATCTGTGTCAACGTTTCGAAGTTTGTCACTATCACAGCAATATTGTGTTTGCTTCTATTATCTCACCCTCTCTTATTCATTTTTTCTTCTAAAAGTTACTCATAAATACAAGTATTCGTATTTAACCTACATCCCTACCTCACACCCTTTTTCAGTTAGTTTTTTGGATTCATTTTTATTTACTCTTCCATGCTGCTTCTCTATATACTTCCATTATTCTTGTTAATCTTGCAATTAGTACCTACATGTGTTTGTAATAGTATTTTCTGTTAACAGAAACATTTTTATAACTCTTGAAGAACATTCTCTATTAATTAGGTGAATGATTTTCCTTTGTAGGTAAAGACGTCTTTTATTCTGGAATAACTGGAGAAGCTATGGAAGCCTATATTTACTCAGGACCTATTTATTATCAAAAACTGAAGCATATGGTGCAAGATAAAATGCATGCTAGGGGAAGAGGTCCTAGAGCTGTATTGACACGACAACCCACTGAAGGTAGAAGTAGAGATGGAGGTTTACGATTGGGTGAAATGGAACGTGACTGTTTAATAGGTTATGGTGCAAGCATGATGCTAGTAGAGCGTTTAATGGTATCAAGTGACCAATGTGAAGTAGATGTGTGTAACAAATGTGGAAGACTGGGATATTGTGGATGGTGTAATAGTTGTAAAAGTTCTGGACAAGTTTCCAAAATAACTATGCCATATGCCTGTAAATTATTACTGACTGAAATGCAATCAATGAATATTAGTTGTCGGTTAACTTTAACTCATTATTGCCAGTGACTGTTTTAACATAAATATATTTTTTGTTGTAATAATTCAGCAATAAGTATTTAGATTGAAGTGAAAATTATTTCACATTGTTTATTTCATTAAACAGTTTTGTTAATAAATGGACTATAAATGAAACAAGTTTAAATATAGGACCTTCGCTCAGAGAGGGGCGGGTGGTGTTGACAGGTGTTTTTACATGGGGATGGTGGTGACGATTTTATTAAATAAAATTTTTTCCGTCACAAATTATGTGATAACAATATTGTTTTAACATGTAGCCATTGTAATTTACTTTCTATGTCGAATGCGCGACGTGTACGAGGGTGGATTGATAAGTTTCCGGCCTAACCAAGAGATGACGCCACTAGGCCTACCTTGAGGTGACATTCTATAGTACCATCCTTGGATAGCTTGTAGCTATAGTTTCAGCCCGATCTCCTTGCTAGTGTAGGTTTGACAGCACGCTGAACAAGACGCCTCTGTGGTTTTCGTAAAAATGGAAAAGCAGGAAAATCGTGCTGTCATCAAATACTTTTATTTGAAGGGGTTAACGCCGAAGGAAATTAAAAAAGAGATGGACTCAACACTGGGGACATCCTCCCCGTCATATTCAACCGTTAAGCAGTGGGTTTCCGAGTTTAAAAAGGGTCGTGTGAGCACCTCTGATGGGCCTCGCTCAGGACGCCCCGTTGAGGTCACAACTCCAGATATGATCGAAAAAATTCATCAAATAGTGCTGGGAGACCGCAGATTGAAAGTGCGTGAGATAGCTGAGACCTGTAAGATGTCATATGAACGTGTGCAACATATTTTGCACCAACATTTGCATATGGAAAAGCTCTGTGCAAGATGGGTGCCGCGTTTGCTAACAGTCGACCAAAAATTGATTCGAAAAAACATTTCTACCGCAAATTTGTCATTGTATAAGCGTAATCCAAGCGAATTTTTGCGTCGATTCGTAACCGTTGACGAAACGTGGGTCCACCACTACACTCCTGAAACCAAAGAACAGTCTAAACAGTGGATTGGACCAGGGGAACCAACTCCAAAGAAGGCAAAAACAATTTTTTCGGCGAACAAGGTTATGGCTACTGTTTTTTGGGATGCAAGAGGTATTATATACATTGATTACCTTGCAAAGGGTAATACTATCACTGGTCAATACTACGCAGACTTATTGCAACGTTTGAGCCACGAGGTGAAAATTAAACGACCTCATCTGGCGAAGAAAAAAATCTTGTTTCATCACGATAACGCACCAGCGCACACGTCAATCGTTGCGACGGCTAAAATCAACGATCTAAAGTTTGAATTGATGCCGCACCCTCCTTACTCTCCAGACCTAGCCCCGAGTGACTATTTTCTGTTCCCTAATCTCAAAAAATGGCTTGGCGGTAAGAGATTTGCGGACAATGAAGAAGTAATCGAAGCTGTAAATGGTTATTTTGAGGAGCTTGACGAATCAGTCTATAGAGATGGCATTAATAGACTGGAACACCGCTATGAGAAATGTATCAGCCTTGGAGGAGATTATGTTGAGAAATAAAAAAAAAAAATTTTTAAAAACCTTGTTTTTCTTGGTCAGGCCGGAAACTTATCAATCCACCCTCGTATACTACAGTTAGCTGTTTCCTCCTACTACAATAAGATATTTTCAATCAGTTAGACTGTAACTGTAAGTACTACAAACTGTGAAATTTGATTGCAATTTTTGCGAAATAATTTAAAGAATAGGATAGAAGTAAACATTTTTAAATATAATACTGAAAGGTTATTTTTTCATATACAAGACGCTACATTGTGGAGGTACAGCAAGCAACTTTATTTTCTGTAAGGGAACTCCTAGCTTACTATTATATTTTTGAATTCATTTAATAATCTGGAATTATGTTATAAAAATGTTTTTTCATTTATAGGTACCAACCGTTTTTGAAATAGCAATATTTTTTAAAAATTTGTAAAAACGATCACAACATAGAATACGCGATTTCGCTTAATGTAACGGTATTCGAATTTCTATAAGGTTAGTAGAATAAAGACTTGGGCTATAGGGCCGTGGCCTAAGTAAACTATTCTGCCCAGACGTTTCGTCGACTACTGCGGCTGACAACTTCAGTGTTAGTGCTACGTTGACAACGTGAACGTAGATTATATGTCGAAGTCTCGACAGAGACTGGAGCAGCCGACGAAACGTCTGGACAGAATAGTTCACTTAGACCACGGCCCTATAGCCCGAATCTTTATTCTACTATGGATTCCGGTCGTGAAAGCCTTTGGTATATAAGGTTAATTCTTCCTTTCGATATTTATACCACTATCCAATACTGCTTGAAATATATACTAATACTATCTGACTCGACCACGCGTTGCTGTGGCCCATTACTTTTAATACATTGATGAATATTATACTTAACTTTTTAATACAGTCTAATTAAAATTTACTAATAAAGATAAAAATGTTTTTACCGATTTAAAAACCCACGCCAATAAGAATGGAATGTTAAGCCAAAATTTCAGTAATCTATGCAAGTGCTAATTGGTGCGCAGTATTTTTAATTAGCCCATCTTTTGTTAACAAATAAATTTGATTACGTGCCACGTTTGACTGACAAACTCCGTTTCCTACCCACTGGCATAAATACAACTTGCGCAGGAGAAGTCGCCAGTCCACATTCCACATCCAGCATCGGAGATGGAAGGACCTTTGAAGAAGCTCGCCACTCGTACTAGCGAAAAGTCAAGAACTAACTCCAAACGACGCCGCCTTTAGACCCGAATTACCAATTTGTCGGACACTCGCCGGATTGGCGGCCGCGTTATCTTATCGCATGCGTCAAGTAATGAAACATACATACCTACTTGTAAACTTGTATTCACTCAAAGAAATGATAAAGTTTCCTTTACAAAAACTCTTAGACCTAACACCTTACAATGGAACTATTATTAAATTATTAAGATTTTAAAACGTGAGCTGTATCTCCTGTTTTTATATTGTTTTCCCCTTTTCCGTTTTGATTATTACACGGAATGGTATCGCTTGACGAATTCGTCGCTCCATTTGATGGTTCCCCCGAAAAAGTAAATTTAAAAGTTCATTTCGGATTGTGATAATTTTGACACAAATGTCTACCACAACTCCGGCCTATAGAAATTTAAAATTTCGACACATGGTTAGCAAATTAACCGGCAGAGCAGAATCTGCAAAGGCCAAGTGATTGGTATACCCGAAAAGCCTTAATTACGACAAAATTCAAATCTTCAGAAAATGAAGATTTGCAATTTAACCAATTAATTTTATGCGTTAGAAAGTCTAACGAATCAGTAGAAGATTTTATGACAAAATTTTAAGTCATTTTAACTAAACTAGCAGGTAATTTTTTAGGTGATCCGATCCAGAACGCATTGATGAGTCATTATAAGAAGGAAGCACTTAGTATTTTCAAATTATCTGTAAGTGAACCCTATTATTCTGACTTAAAAATAAGACGACCACTTTCACTATCTCAGGCCCTTAATTATTCTAAAGAACTAGACAATGAAAACAAGAAATTAGAGATTTATAGGCAAATGATAGGTATTTCCAAAGAGCCACACCCACACAACACTCCTACATGAAAACAACATCCACGGAAAAATTACTTTGCACCTCGACAAAATCCTAGTCCAGACCTTTCAACAAATTTCTAGACAACAATTTCCTTTATTAAATAGAAATACTCCCTTCAGATCTTTCATTACGCCTAAGCCTCATCCGGTATTCCAACAACAACCCAGGAATACACACCAAAATAATACTCAAAAACCTTGAAACACTGGTGATGTTTCTATGAGAACTGTTTCCCAATTTAGACGACCAAATAATCCTCAAAATCAAAGACCTAACCATTTCCAAAATCAGCAACGGCCCAATTTCCTTGTTGAAGAATTAATAAATGTTGAACAAGACCCGTACGTTTATGATGAATACGGAAACGCCTCTTTACCCGTCCAATCTTTTGATACCGATACCTCCTATGAAATTGACAATTTCACCGACGGTATTACCGGCGAAAGATACTATCGACGAATACGAAAATGAAAATTTTCATATACAGGCCTTGAAAAACAAAATTACATAGATTTGGAAGAAATTAATAATGCTTTAGTTAAAACACATAAACTACCTTACATATACTCAAACGAATATGACTGCAAAATTTTAATTGATAGTGGTGCTTCAGATTCTATTATAAATTCTTTGACTTTCAAGTATTGTTCTGATCATTTATACGAAGAAACTTTCCAAGTTAAAACAGCCCACGGAGACACTAAAGGACAATACAAATTATACATTGCTTTGTTACATGAATTTGATTAACCCACATGCATTGAATTTTCAGTTTTTGATTTTCATAAAACTTTCGACGCATTAATTGGTCATGTTGACTTGACTAAAATGAATGCCGTTATAAATTATTCCAGCAATACTTTGACTACTGAACACACACAAATACAGTTTCACGAGACCAGAGATAAAATTCTGACAAATATCACTTGCAAAATCCCAGTCAACTTCCACAAAGATCTTGTGTTATTCTCAACCACGAACAAATTGTACCAGGTATCTACAATGTAGATAACAATTTTGGTGATGTACAATGTCTCAATAATATTCCCATCAATGAGCCTATGGATGTAAATACAAAGCCCCAATTGACGACAATTTAAATTGCGACGTAATTAAACAACTCAGATTAGATCACATGAATAATACCAAAAAAAAATAAAATTACAAAACTTTGTAAAGAATTTAATTCAATTTTCAGCGGCGATCAACAAACATTAACTGCAACCACACAAGCAACCCATCATATCAGGATAACTGACGATTCATCTGTTCACCAAAAAATTTCCGTTACCCCCAAAATAAAAGATGAAATTCAAAATTAAGTCAAAAAATTGCTAAATGACAGTATAATCAAACCCTCTACTTCTCCTTATGCTTCCCCTGTTTGGATAGTTCCAAAAAAGAAGGATACCTCGGGAAAAAAGAAATGGCGCATGGTCATTGACTTTCGCGAAATTAACAAAAAGACACCAGACAATAAATATCCTTTACCCCGATAAAATGTTCCTATTACTCTTTCTTAGACTTAACTTCCGGTTTTTAACAAATCCCTCTCCACCAAGACAGTACTGAAAAGACTGC